AGAACCAAAAAGCGAGAATGTTTGATCGCGTAAGTGTGGTAAAGTGTTCACTGTGAGGATACGTGAGTAGTTTTACAAAACCAGCTCACTATACACCTGACATTCTCAAAGTGACCAACTCTGTGGACTGCCGTACAGAGGTTAAAGGACCTCTGAATTTTTACAGCCAGATTTTAAAATTGAAAGTAATATTCGATGAAAGAATGATAGCTTAACTCTGCGCGTTTTCTCCATAGTGAGCACATGTGGCGATGACAGCAGTTTTCCCAATCGCAATCCGAGCAGTGCTCAAAGGGTAATGCTTCTTTTGTCGTCGATACAGATTGGTAAGATTGCTAGCTTCTTTTCGAATTTGTGTTTTTTTTCAAGTCTACCCGGACACGACGAGTGAACTAGTCGGTTAACCTTGTCACATCCTGTTGTTTCTAACCTTGTACCCGCTTCGGTGCCTTAGTGTCGGAAAAAGACTCTTTCACAAAGAACACAAGAGCTTTGTTGCAAAAAAAGCGGGTTTGTTAAAGCGCTCTTTTGACATTGATGCAGGCTGTCCAATCGCAGTTAGGTGGACACCATGATAGTCGGTCGTGCATTTATCACATGCCTAAACACTCACTGGCCGTTTCTGAATTGATTAACTGCTTGAGAGCTCGATCGAAAACTGGCTTCTCTGACCTGGTTGCTTGACAGTTTCCCCACTGAGATTTTAGTGGTAGGTTTCGGCATTCTAGGACTATTTTTAGGAATCTGACCAGTCCGTAACTAAGTACATGCTCTTTAAGCCTTGAAGTTCACGAACATAAACAGTGGTCACTATATTCTTTTTTGATAAACGAGTCAGAATTCGGGAAATTATACAATGTGACATTATTGACGCTAACTGAGTTTCCGATTCATTCCAAAATAAGAAGGGATAAAGTGGGCATATTTCATTTTGATTGCATCTTTTTTGCGGTCTCCTCGTGCGTACTCCAACACTATCGTTCATCCGGGCGAATTCCGGTGAGTAGCGAGCGAAATTCGATTCGGAGAAATAAATGTCCATTCAAGCGAATCGTTTATTGTTAGTTTCGAACAGACTATACCAGATGAAAGCCAAGTGAGAAACCCAGTCAGTTACACTAGGCGCGCCTGGTCTGCTATCAGTTAAGTTGCACCGGCTCTCAGTGATCGCGTGACCTCAGTCAATCTGTGCCATGTGTCCACAGACATCAAGACGTTTCGTTTGAGACGGAATTACTTCCGTATCACTCTGTCGGTTTGAGGCAGACATTGCAATTCCGATGTTCCAGATTAGTTAGTGTGGACGACGCCACTGTACACTCATCACCTACTTGCTCGTCATACGAAAGGGGATCAGCATTGGAAAAATTCTCACAGCCAACTTGCTATCATCTTGAAACTCACAATAAAGCGATGTGCGATTAAACCCCTCAGTCATGTAGGTTATTGCTAAACAGACTCACTAGCTAGAACCACCATAGACAATTCACACGATGTCTGAGTTTATTTGGGCATTTCGCTTAACGAAAATTCTGAAACTCGGTCGGCTTTTAATTGCTATTTCCATAAGAACTTCGCACGACCGACGTGCACGAAACTCGGTAGGCTTTTAATTGCTATTCCCATAAGAACTTCGCACGACCGACGTGCATGATGCAACGGTCCTAGCTCGGTATTGATGCAGCTTACATGCTTTTTGAAACCACACCTTACAGTGAATAAAATATCGATGCCTTCATGAATATCGTGTGATCATCAGCATTCTACCGAACCGCTAGTCTCTTCTAGATACAAAAGAATCAACCCGCTCATTATCTCTGAGTGAGTTCATTGGCAGAGTTGACGTAAAAACAGATAATTAGAAAAGTACGCGAGATTTCAACGGATTATTGCAACTGTAAATGAAGTTACTCGCTTTCAAGCTTAGCTGGGAATCTCACAGGATGATCTGGTCGTCCTAGTATTGAGGAGCATTAGGATCACTTCAACGGGTCTCCGCTTGACACCTGGCAATCATAACCCAGTCATAATTCGCGATGGCCTGAATTACCCCTACATCACCTCTGCTGTGCGAGCGAAGATCGGTTTACCCCAAATAGTAAAGCGTATAAATGTCTGTACGGGTTATCGGCCCAAGTCATTCAAACAGAAAACAGTTGGCACATGAGCCGATGTAGCATTTATTAGAATAACCAAGCGGTTGCGAGTCAATCACCCACTCGGTGCTCAAACGTTTGAGGTGTCATGACAGTGTATCACATCACCACCAGGTTTGGGACTTAGCTAGTGAAATGAGCCAGGACTACTAGGCTGGTCAAACCCATGCGTCCGAGGAAAAAATTCCCCGGCTTTACGATGAACAATTTCCGGTATGAAATGATCACGTAAGACAGAATTCACTTCAATAGAGTTTGGAACTGTTTATCACGGTACCATTTACCGATAAAATTCCGAGACGGACCCACTAGATGGGTCACAGGCGACTGTCAACCGAAAGAAGGCGGAGCATTGAAATCTACCAGGCACAATGACTCGGTGTTCCAAAAATGACACATCTCATACGGTGAGCACTCGCCTTCATAACTCATTCGGCAATCTAATGGATAAGGTGCAAAATGCAAGGGAGTGAGGGCCATCATATTGAAAAGGAAAAATTTCGTCCTATCCAACTTCTGCCGCCAGGCCATTTATCCAAACCTAGAAGGATCATCTAGAAGAAGCGTTTTTCTCACCTAGTAGCATTACCCGACAGACTGACACCGATGATTCCCTTGCAGTAGAAAAAGCAACAGGTGACCAATATATGTCCGATGGATAAACCATTTAGGGCCGCGAACGAGGTCTGTTCGACGGGCATAGCGGTTGGCTCCACGGTATACACCAAGGTCATGATTGCTTTTCAATCATCCCAAATAGACTTCGTGGCATACAATCTGTCCGATGTACACTGATATAGTGGTGAATGGATCTAGTGGGGCTGCACACGAGACAAGCAAAGTGCTTTCATCATGATCACTTTACCATGTACTTTCAAGTCTTTTGAACAAAGCAACGAGAAAGTAAAAGCCGGAAAATGAGTAATATATCCATCTCTGCCAGTCGTCTCTGACATCCAAAGCCGGCTTCACCACAGTTAGCAACCTTTGACCAAACCAGAGCATAGCACTAGCTGATGTGCATCACAAAGATTCGGGTTGTTTCATCGGATCCGTAAGTCCCGTGCGTCTTCTTTGGAGGCGGAGATTGCTAGATGAGGAAACGCCTTCATTCGTAAGATTGACAGAATATCCAATAATGTTGAGCATTCTGCCGGTCAGGACGGTTTTACGAACAAAATGGGACAGTCTTTCAAAATTAAAAAATTGCTTACGTCCACATCATCATCATCCTCATCATCGACAGCATTACATCAGTGTTCAGTACTGATGCTTCACTGCCGTACACAACCATGATTTGTTTGAAAGCCTTATTGTAAAGAAAAGGGTAAAGGTGGACGGGGAATGGACTTAGTGTTAGCTTACCACAATCATTCCGATGTGCCTATACCTCCAGACATTCACTTAGGCGATCTGGACAGATTCTGACAACAAGAACGCCACTGACATCGGCTGGCAGCAATATCTTGTAGTGTCTACGACCAGGCACAATG